TTGGGTTCCTTTAAATCAGAGCTAGATAAGATTTTAACAACTCTGAGCTATTAGTTAAGTTCTCCCCAAGCGAGCTCGATGGGCCGAATGGCTTCCTCTCGTTTGTATAGTTCTTATGTTCTAAGGAGGGTCTTCTTGATTGATAATTTGCACAGACTGGGACATTTTAGGTGGATCTCCAGGTTAGGCTTCACTGAGAAAGTCACTGCAACAGTGGTGTCACCCTCTGCTGCCAACGCTTACCAGACTAGTTCTCCTGCCTAATAAATTGCAAAGGCTGAGGCAAAGTGGGTTCAGCTCCCACACTGGTGCCCTACTAGTTTAACAAAGACAAGCTGTCTGATTCAAGGAGTGACTCAGTACTATTTACATGCCACTACAAAATGTCACCACATATACTGTATATTAAACCGTTAAGTGTGGCCCTTGTAGGAACATCATGACAAAAATTTTTAGGAGAACTCAAAACATTCATTTGCAAGTTTGATACATTATGGTCAGACTGGTCCTGAGACCTAAAACGCATTATTATAATTAAACTTAATGAAATTATTATTTAAATTGTGGTTAACAACAACAATTTTAAACACCTTGCAGCATAATACCGTTTGACAGTTAACAGTATGAGTTATCCTGAATGTCATGCTAGTATGGTCTACCGTTTAAAAAATAAAATAAAATAAAGTTTAATAGCCTCCTGACTATTTTGTTAGGCCTGAGTAAAAAATGTCCTTGCTTGGGTTTTTCACGGGTGAATAAAGGCTATATGATTAAGTACCTGTTTTGCTAACGGGTTACAAAATTATTTTCAATTACTATTTACATTATTCCTCTAAGTTCTGTTCAACAGAAATAATCTTTGAGTGTAAAACAATCAAAGCTAACCAATAACAAGAGTGCTGAGTGTTTTTAACACAACTTTCTGCAGTGCCGCAAATAGTATAGGCCTTACAAATCTGCCTCTTATTTTGTATTCCAGCGAACAGTTCACCCAACAATTGTTGCATTCTCACTTATATTTGTGTGCTATTAGACCGTAATGCACTCGACGGCACTATTTCCTTGACATTAACAATTCCATAAATCAATAATCAAAGATATTTCACACTAGCGGAGTCACACAGACAAAGGTTTGGATATCCTTATGTAATAAGGTGCATCAAATAACCCAATGTTAGGATTGAATTGCTGTGTTTAAATATTCGTGGGTGTGTATGTCTATGGTGTTTTACGTAAGAGAAGTTGACATAGTTTTTAAACCACCGAGACTAACAGGTGCAAAGCGTTTGCATTTAATTCTTTGTTATCCGGACAGACTCCTCTTCCGTCAAAGTGTGTCGCCCTAATCAAAGAGCGCAGCGGGGCTCCGGGTCGCACTTTGCGCCTCTGGTCCCAGCGGAGCGTGGTGACGCGCGCCGTAGCGTGGGGTTTCCCGGGGCTGAGCGCAGGGTTACCGCGCCCATCGCCGCTTGCTTCATGGCCGGGGGAAGAGACTGAGGTGCGGGAGAGGAACGAGAAAGCCTGGCGAAGGAACGAGAGGCAAAAAAAATAAAAAATACCCAGCCACACCAGACTAGAAGGGTTAGGGAAGCGGCCGCGGGCTCTGAACAGACGCAGCGAGTCGGGGCGGCGCGACGCCCGTTTGGTGAGAATTTAACCGGCTTCACGGCTTTGCGGTGCCTCCTGTCCGTTTGTGCCGCCGGCGTGCCCGGTGTATTACACTCGGCAGGTCGGGAAAATATATATCATTTAAAGAACTGGGGAACGGGGAGTGCCGCCCCTCGGTAGCTAGTCGGCTTTAGCCAGCTGAAAGTCTGCTGATCGCCGGTTGATGAGGAGGAGCGCGATCGGACGGTTTCTGTCTCCACCGTCACCAGTCAATGCCATATATACACAACGGACACCGACGAGTAAAAAAACTGGTGAGCACATCTGTTTTCTTTCAGATTAACTTTTGAACGTGGTTATTAGACATAAGATAAAAACAACCTATGGAATGTGGGCTTCGGAGACGCGGGGGAAAGGGTTAAAAGCGGGTCGTTGGATCATTATATTCGGCGACTGGGGGGGTGGTGGCGGCTGACTGATACATCTGGCTGAATTTAGGGTTATTGTACTGGGTTTAGGGCTGTCGATTCATTTCGGAGAAATCACCCCGCGGCTTCTTCAAACGGGTTTAAGGCGGCGGTCTGGGTGAATTATTCCTCCGACTAGTTATAGTGTTATTTTTGGCGTGGGGGGTGGGGCGGATTGTGTCTTAATATATATCTATTTTTTGCTTCTTACAAAACACCCCGGTACTGGTTTTAATAACCGGACAGTCGGTCGGATTAACAAATATTAAAGCTTCAGTGTTGCAAGAAGTGAGGGGGGGTGGTAAACGATCTGAGGAAGGAAATGTTTCATGTCGGTCTGCGGAAGACTTCCCGTTTGCACTGAGCGCAGCCCAGCTCAATAACCCGGCCAAACTCAGTTTAACTGTACATGGGAAATCGCCGATCTGCATGGATTATTCACATATATAGCACATTTCCGTGCGTAAATATACGAGGCCAGTAACTGGCTAACATTCTGTGGAGGTGAATAGATCGAAAATGAGTATGGATGGCCGTTTCGGCTGGCAGCAATAGGGACGACCCACCACCGCCTCCCAGCGAGTCCATACTAGATAGCCGAGAACCACCACCCTCCCGTCTCCCCACGTAGCAAATTCTACTGGCTTTTTTTGTGGTGCTGGAAGAAATCGCGGTTGTGCCATCACCCGAAGACTGATACCTGTCGCAAATAATGAAATATGTAAACGGTGTTTCATATTCTCCTAAATTGCACACATCCACAATTATTTATTAAAAATGCACCCAGTGCCGCCTCACGTGATGGAGAGCAGCTTACGATCGCTGATGAGTGGAAAAATGAGGGGGGGGGGGCGACTCCCAAGATGGAAAGATGTCGCATAGACTGGTGGTACAGACGACTTGTATATGTGTGTGTGGTTGCGTGGCAGCGTCCATCGCTGGGTGCCTTAATGTTGCATTTCATATCTTTAAAAAGGCCAGGGAGGAGTGCACTGTCAGTCCTCACTTTCATATGTACCTCGTTTTCCCCCGACCGTGTTATGTAAAATGGCTATAGTGACAACCGAGAAGTGTGTGTTCTGTGACAGGAAACTGCCTGTGTGTTTTCGGATTTCTTTTTTTATACATCCAGCAGTACTTATTTCTAAATAGGTGTGTATACTAGATGTTTAAATAGGTTCTGCTACGTTTAACGAAATACTAACGAGGAAATCGGATTGTGGCAATCTCCTCATTTAAGACGACCAGCTCCAGTTCTTTTCCGTGTGATTGGCGTCCCTTAGCAGCCGCCCCCCGCGCCTCCGCTATCCTTTTAGCGTTTCAGCAGGGAGGAAATGCATAGGTCTAAAACGAGGAAGCAACGAGTCCTGCCCTTTTAAGACGAGCGGCAAAAGGGGGGTGGTCTTACAACAATATTAAACCCCGAAAGATGGCTTGTTTCGCCAAATTGCAGTGCATAGGTCTGCACTGTTAATGGAGCCGATTTCTTTGCCGGATTGCTGCATGCGTCGCGTTAGCAAAGACTGTCTAAAAAGCGGAGGCTTAATTCTCCACAGATTTGATACCCTAACGGGAATCATAAAAAGTAAAAATTTTACGTTATTGTGCCCATTATTTAACCTTTAATGTCAGAACGAGAGCTTTGCCTTAATATATTAAATTGGGTCGTATTTGTTTTTGGTAACTCAACAATGATGAATCGATCCCGTTTTATTCTACTCCCGTTTGAATGAATGGGGTTCCTGTGTTCCGGGTCCGGGCAGCTGCGGCGAACAAGATGGCGCGCGCTGGCTCGAGCACAGCGCGTTCTCCCAGCGCGAGACGTCGGCGCAGAGGAGGTCCCCCCTTCCTTTGGTGTTGCCTTGTCTCCCCTACTCAATATTTAACCATATTTACCTATTTGTCTCATCTAATGGTGCGTTTTTGTTTTAAAAATACCGTGGAAGGTGACTTATCATATGAATCCGTTAAAATGTTTAAAAAGTGACGTGCATTGGTGGTATTTTTGACCTGATGCACGCCGTTAGTTTTGTGGCGTTCTAGAAAGTGTATGACCTCACTCTGTAAAAAGTTTGTTTTCTGTCAGAATATTATAGTTTTTAAATAATAAAAAAATATTAAATCCCCCAGCTTGCACACCTAAGGGTGTTATGTTCATTGCTAATGTGCTTAGCGCCATGCTGAATAGCATACTGGGATGATTAAGCTGGCGCGTTTGATCCTGTGCTGTATTTGTGACATTGCAGAACGCGTCATATGTGCCCACTGGCAAAACTGGAAAATATTCGGAGCTGGTGGAATAAGTGTTTTTAGGCAGCCTATTGCAGGACGGTGTCAAGTAGATATGAGCTGTGACACAGCTGGTACTTAGTTTCATGTGAGTCTAGCACCTTTAGGTATTTTCATGTGTTGACAGTATTCACATTCAGTGGTGCATTGTGGGAAGTGTCTTCGCAGTGGAGAGAACATCACTCGCATTGCTCAAGATCTTTGCCTTTTCTGTATAAAATACCATATTGCAGGAATATTTTATAGTTTGATTTTAAGCAGTAAGTTTTCTGCCCTCCCTTTAAGAATGACAGCTGTCAATCCTCTTCCTCTGATTCCCAGTTTCACAGCCTCTGTAACCAGCCACTTCTTCTGGGGCTGGTGAATGCCTAATCCCATTCTCACAATAAATCCACTCCTGGGTGAGATTATGTGCAGGAAAATGCCCTGCCTGCAGTTTTTTTTTTTTGGGTTCTGGCTGTTCAGACTAGGAAGCTAGTTAGCTCAAATGGCTGCTGCTGTTTTTTATTTTAAATAATCATATGAAGCAATTGGCCGGTGTGCTTTGTGTCACAAATTGCTTTTTGATTAGCTCAACACTGGTATGGACACAGTGGGTTGGCAAGGACACAGCTCATCGCCCCAAGGTTCCCTTCTTGTGTCTCAGGAGGAGATCCGCTGTTGTACCCTTGAGCAAAGTGTCTAACCTAAATTGCTCCAACTTTATAAATAGACAAAATTGTAAGTCACTTTGGATGAAAGTTTGTGGCCTGAGCAATACAGTATTGGTGGTAATAGCCGCAATAATTTAATTTAGAGTTGGGAATAATTGTAGTATGTGGTATTATACTCATCAATGGTGAAAAGAAGTTGTCCCTCTTTAGTAGTTTCTTGTAATCACTCACTTGTGGATGGGCTCTTATGTGATAGTAGTACTCCACCATATATGGTTTGGCACAATAAACTTGCAAAAGCATGGTCTAATTTACATTAGTCCAGTGTAAAAAACTGGTTAGTTACAGAAGAGGTGTCCAGTAGCTGTTAAAATGAATTTATGTATCTATACTTACTAATTTGGTCAGTTTGCTGTGCCAGCTGATTTTGGTCTATCGCCCTTTTTTTTTGACAATACCAATATTCTCCTGCTGAAACTTATTTTTAGTGTCTTGTTTTTGTATGTGAGCAAAAATGTTTGTGCTATATGACAATAGTGGTATATGAATCACAGCATTAACTAAATTTAAAAATGTAAAGAATGTCTGACCTATCTTAACGTATTATACACAAGTGTGTGTGAGAGGATGTCACTCACATTCATATTTTTTTATTAGATGCAAAACACATGACATCTTGGCCAATGAAAAGATGTTTTATGAAATTATCTACTGAACTAGTAGTATTGTTAACATTTGTATTTATGATGGTCATTTGTATGGATTACTTTGTATTGCTAGTTTTAACAACTCTGACAACAAACAAATTAACGTCAGGCTATTAACATCATTAGCATCATTGTTAATTGTGAATATAAAGCAAGATTAGTTTGTATCTTGTTGATACTGACATTTGCCTCACTAACAGGCCACATAAGTCCATTTAAAACAAGCCATTCAGTGATGGCTATGTAAATATAGGTTTCTGTTTGAGGTGTTGAGGGTGTCTCATTACATTGTTTTAGATTTATTTTGTGATGTGATTTCTGAGAAAATGCGTTTTTCACGCTCCTGAAATAATGGATTTTTGCAGATATGTGTTTTTCTTTGGACAGCAATTTGTGTGTGAGAGAGAGAGACTGGATTCTAAAATTACAATTGATATTTTAAACTCATCTGGTCACTCTTGAGAGAACTTACACCTTGGGTTACAAGTGCAAAGTGCATCATGCAGATCAACCACATGCAGGTTTTTTTTTTTTGGGGGGGGCGCATATGCTCTAGTACATGCAGGATGTTGCTATGATAGAAATCATAATGAGTTAATCTGTGCCTCTTTTTTTGAACTTCCTGACAACTTACTTTTACTTAACTGCAGAGGCTAAAAATGAGTGACGTGATCACCAGTCTCAGGAAAACAGATGGTCCTATGTGGCTTAGTTATATCACAGTTTAAAAAAAATACCTAGGATAGACCTATGTTTAAGGATACGACCTATGTTTAGGATACACTTATGTTTCAGTTTGTGATTTTTGTCAGATTCCCATTGTACTTGTGCCCGCCCCCCCCTCCCCCTGCCCAACTCCACCTGCCCAACTCCACCCAAAAAAAAGAACCAGGATTTCTGTTTAAAAGTAGGCCGCTTGTAGACTGCTCTTTGCACAAAGCAAAATCCATATTGATTTTTTTTTTTTTGCTGACAACACACACTTTCCGCTTGATGACTAGCTAAAATTGTGCCTATTGCTAGAAGTGGCGGAGCTCATCCCTCTGCTCCGCTCTGCTGGGTAGGTGGGTAGGACACACTGGGTGTCTGGGGGTTGGTAGCTGGTGTCACAGGTGTCACAACCTCCAGGCTCAAGCCTCAGCTCCCAAGTACTTTCCCGCCATTCATAAAACTATTCAGAATTTCACATTTTCTGAAT